AAGCCCCGAGACAAAGCACTATTGGGCACAATGGGACCAGTTTAAGCTTGCAGATGGTATTCTTGTACGGAGATGGGAAACTACCGATGGGAAAGTGACGACTTGGCAAACAGTTATACTGGGGAAGTTACGGGAAGTTGTGTTGCGTCAATCCCATGATAATTTAACAGGAGGACATCTCGTAATCAAGAAGACATTGAGTCACATACGACAAATATTTTATTGGATAGGTATGAGGCGAGATGTGGAAGAATGGTGCCGGACATGCAGTACATGTAGTGCAAAAAGGGGACCCAAGCGTAAGGGATACCCACCTTATGAAGAGTTGCCTGAGAATATGTCAGAGTTTGTGAAAGTGTTATCAGAAAGGATGGATGATATTCACCATCAAGTGCGTTCAAACTTGAAAACGTCTGCTGATTCGATGAAGCTATCTCATGATAAGAGATCTACTGAAGTCAGCTTTGAACCAGGAGACAATGTGTGGTTGTATAATCCCAGGAAGACCAAAGGGAAGTCTCCTAAGGCCTATATGACATAATGGATCGTCTCTCAGACGTGACTTTCCAGATAAAATGTGGTCGGCGACGTAAGCCAAAGGTGGTGCATGCCAACAGGCTTTGGCGTTATCACGGTCCAGGACATTTCAGTTGGGACGAAGTGAACAAAGGAACAAATGACGCTGCTGAAGAGATGTCACATGAAAAAGCCAACATCGAAGAAACTCTACTCAGTTTTGAGAAGGGAAACGATGAAGCTCTTGATGAAGTTACTACCAATGATGTGACTGTTACCGATGATAGGACATTTACTGATGAAGCAGATGAACCCCACATGAAGCAGAAGCCAACAAGACGGAGACCAGTACGGAAGAAGATACGTCCCGTAAAATTAAGAGACTTTGTTGAATTGTAATTTTGTGTTTGTAATTCTGTACATTTAATTAAGTTATTGTTAATTGTTATTGGTTTATTGTAAGTGGCTATTGTTCGGGACGAACAATACTAAGGAGGGGGCAGTGTTGCGTCAGCGAGGTCACATGACTAGTGTCACACCACCTATTTTCTAGAAATATCCTGTTCCTTCGTGAATGCCCTAGCATTTACTAGATATATGTTAGTCTGTTTTATATATAAGACGCTCACAACGTGACGGTATTGTGTGTGTAGGTAGTGAGTAATTGATCTGCAGTCAGAGAGTATTGTTGAAATTAACGTTCGTTCGTTACAGTGTTGTTTTAGCGCGAATGTTGAAATAAAGTGTATCGTAAAGTTATATTCAGAAAGCATAAACCAATTTTATTAAGTAAGGACTTGTGTCGCTAAAGTTTCGTCGGAACGAAGTTACGGAAAGTTAATTAACAAACGGAGACGTAACAATACTAAGGAAGAGGCATTGTTATGACAGCGGAAGTCAAGTGACGCTTGGAGCATGCGTGACTGAGTTTCTCGAATTATCGGGTAAGCTCGAGTGTGATCGAGAGACACCTCTTTGTTGGTATATAAGCCTGGCAGATAAAGCTTGCGTAAATGAATGTATGATAAAGTGAACAGTAGGCACGGTGAGTTTCAAGTTGATTTACGATTCTGTTTCGTAGCTAGTGTGTG